CTATAATTCTAGTACTTGTGAGGCTAAAAAGCAGGAAGATCATAAGTTTGAGGCTAGCCTGGACTACATAATAAAACCCTGACTCCAAAAAATACAAAGTTCTACCTCTGAATTCCTATTTATTATTTCCCTGGAGGCAATCAGTGTTAGTGTTTCTGTCTTCTAGGGATTTAAGTAAATAAAAATAATCCACCTTCTCTTCACAGACAAGGTTGTGGAGCTGAGTGTGGTAGCACATGCTTGTAATTCCAGACTTGTAATCCCAGACTGAGGCAGAAGGAATCTTAAGTAGTTGGAGGCCAGCCTAGGTACATGGTGAATGCCAGGCCAGCCTGCACTATAGAGTGAAATCCTCTCTCAAAAAAATAAAAAGCTGGACTTGGTGGCACACACTTAATCCCAGCACTTGGGAGGCAGAGGCAGGTAGATCTCTCAAGATGGAGGCCAGCCTAGTCTACATAGGGAGTTCCAGGCCAGTTAGGGCTACAGGAAGACCCTGTCTCGAGAAACCAAATAAGACAAAATGAAAACAGGCTGGAATGATGGCTCAGTAGGTAAAAGCACTTGCTATGCAAAACTGTTGATCTGAGTTCAGTCCCAGGAATTGACAGAAAGCTAGATGGAATGGCTTGTATCTGTAATAGCAGCACTCCTACAGTGAGGCAAGCACAGAATTGCCCAGAAGCTTGCAGGGTATCTAAATTGGAGTAAACAGAACAGAGGAGACAAGAGCGACTGCCTCAACAAGGAAGAAGAAGATCAACTCCTAAAGGTTGTCCTCAAACCTCTACCTGTGTACCATGGCATGTGCATGCCCCTACATGGATATACATGCCTGCATGCGCATGTACACACAAGATTAAAATAAAACAGTGCTGTGCACATACTGTATGCATTGCTGTTTACATCATTGTGCTTTTAATTCTTGTCCCATTATCAGTGTGCATGTGGCTTCTTCAGTCTTGTTTACACATTTGGACTGTGACAAATAATGCTTCAGTGAACATGGGGGTATGGCCATCTTTTCAGATAGCACTTTCTTTTCCTTTGGACATAAAACTAGGAGTAGGATAGCTGAGTAATTTCTGAGGAAACTACTGTTTGCCACAATGTACCAATTTGTATTCGTACTAACAGTTTTGATGCAAGGGTTCCCTTTCCTCTATTTTTTTTCCAGCACCTATCTTTTTTTTTTCTAATACAGGTCTCACTATGGATGATCTGGAACTCCCTTTGTAGACTAGTCTGGCCTTGAACTCCCAGAGATCCATTTGCTTCTGCCTCCAAGCACTGGGGTTAAAGCATGTACTACCATACCCAGCCCTTGTCTTTTTTACAGTAACCATCCTAACATGTGTGAGGTTATACCACACTAGGACTTTAAAGGTTTTGTGAATCAGATCTTTTAAGTGTACTTTTTTGCTAAATTTTATCTAGTATTTTTTCTTTTGCTCTTCCTGATCTTTCCTCCTCCATCTCCCATGTGATGGGATTAATAGGCATGCAAGTATCCTTTTATTTTATGTGTGTGAGTGTTTTACCTGTTTTATATGTAAGTGCACCATGTGTATGCAGTGCCAATGGAGGCTAGAAGTTGGTGTCTGATCTCCTGGGACTGGAGGTACAGACAGCCGTCATGTGGGTGCTGGGAACCAAACCTGGATCCTCTGAAAGAGCGGTTAGTGCCCTTGACCACTGATCCATCTCTCTTGCCCTTAGGATCAAATCTTGCTCAATACAGTGGCCCCTGGTACAAACTAAGGTGAGCAGGAAACACTGGTAATGGGAGCCATGGAAGCCTGTTTTAATTTTTTCCATGTTTTGTTTTCTCTAGATGTGAAATCTGGAAACTATACAGTGTTGAAAGTCGTGGAAGCCCTTGGGTAAGAGCCTCTGTTCTAGAATGTTCTTCCAGTCTTGCTTAGACACTCAGAAAAATTACTTTTATGCTTTTGCTTAAAAAAGTTATTGCTAGCTGGGTGTGGTGACCCACACCTTTAATCCCAGCACTCGGGAGGCAGAGGCAGGTGGATCTCTGTGATTTCAAGGCCAGCCTGCTCTACATAGTGAGTTCCAGGACAGCTGGGGCTGTAGGGAGACCCTGTCTCAAAAAGACCAAAAAAAGAAAAAAGGAAAAAAAAAAAAAAGTTACTGCTTCCTTGGGACTGAACTTCATGTGGCACCTCAGTCAAAGCCTGTGTTTGAATTGTTTTCCCTGAGAAAGATCAGCCTATAAGCCACACCAGCTCCTGACTCAGTCCATAGGCTAAAGGCCTTCTTAGTGTTGTTTAATTAGCTGGAATTCCTCTTGAGCTTCCTTAGGTCCATCTAATCCCTTTAGGATTCTAGTTCCCCAAGCAGCTCAGAAAAGTGGTGGATTCTGTCTGGAGAGTGATCAGGAGGCTGACCATGCTAGCTCTCTACTAGTGGAAAAGGTTTGGGGAAACAAAGAGCAGTATTGTCATAATGTGAGATTTTAAGATTCATGCCTATCATCTAAGGCTTGCTTTCCTTAAATCTCATACATGGTTGAGCACTTAAATTTGACAGATCTTAGCTGGGCATGGTGGTGCACACCTTTAATCCTAGCACTTGGGAGGCAGAGGCAGGCGGATCTCTGTGAGTTCAAGGCCACCCTGGTCTACATAGTGAGTTCCAGGCCAGCTGGGGCCACAGGGAGACCCTGTGTCAAAAAGACCAAAAAAAAAAAAAAAAAAAAAATTGACAAATCTCAAATATTAATGAGTTATTAACTGTCATAGCCAGCATGTCTTCTGAAACAGAGGAAACTAGAAAATTGGAGGAAATTCTAAAAACTAAAGTTATTATAGCTTATCTCTTGTATACAACAGACCATTTGGCCTTTCTGTTAACCTTCTTGTGGCCTTGATACTTTCTAAAAGAATATTTCTTTATTGAAATATAGCTGATGTATCAGAGTTCACCATTTTAATGTATAATGCCATGCCTTTTAGTATTTTCACAGATTTGTGCATTCTTCCCCCAAATCAATATTAGAACATCTTTATTACTCTGAAAAAAAATGCCTGCTCATTAGCATCCATTCCCTTTTCCCTCTTTTTTCCCAGCCCCTAGGCAATCTATGGATTTGCCTATTGCGGAAATTTCATATACATAGACATAGGCTATACAGCCTTTCTGATTGGCTTCTCTCACTGAGCATGTGTCTTAGGTACTTTTCCTATTGCTGTAATAAAGTACCCTGATGAGCTACTTGATGGAGAAAGGGTTTATTATTTATTTGCAAAGATTAATCTTCTTTTTAATTATATGTTTGTTGGTGTGTGTGTGTGAGAGTATGTGCATGTGAGTGCAGATGCTTGAAGAGGCTAGAAGAGTATGTCAGATCCCCCTACAGATAGAGTTAACAGGGAGATATAAGCCACTTGATGTGGTTGCTAGGAACTGAACTTGGGCCTTCTGGAAGAGCATCAAAAGTTCTTAATTGCCGAGCTATCTCTCTAGCCCCAAAGGGTTTATTTTGGCTCACAGTTTGGGGATAAAGTTCAGCTTCTCCTGTATCAGCAGACCTTTATAGTTAAAATTGCTGAGGCTAGGAATGTGGCTGAATTTGTAGAAAGCTTGTTGAACATACATAAAGTCCTAGAACAATCCCTAGAACAACATAAAACTGGCAATAGTGGCAGTGTACACCTGTAATCCCAGTACTCAGGAGGTAAAGGCAGGAGGATCAAGAGTTCAAGATCATCCTCAGTCATGGAGTTTGAGTGAAACCTGGGTTGCATAAAACCTTATCTCCAAAAAGGAAAACAATCACAAAACTTTGATTCCATCCATCTTTGTAGCCTTCCATTTACAAAAGGGTGTGTATGTGTGTTGAATTTCCCCCAGTCACCCGGGACCTTGGTTGCTCCTCCCCCTCCTTAGTGTTTACAAAAATAATGCAATGTGATGACTCACATCTGTAATCCCAGCACTTTGGGAACGCAAGGTAGAAGAATAGCTGTTGCGTGCAGTCTGGGCTGAGAATGAGACCTTGTTGCCAGGCATGGTGGCTTATGCCTTTAATCCCAGCATTTAGGAGGCAGAGGCAGGCAGATCACTATGAGTTCAAGGCCAACCTGGTGTACGTAGTGAGTTCCAGGCCACCTGGGGCTACTGTCTAAAGGTCTCTGTTTGAGACCCTGTCTAAAACAGAAACAAAAAGAATGGGACTCTGTTTCAAAAAAAAGGAGTAGGGGGCCTAGAGAGATGGATGGATTGGTATGTTTCCTGCACAAGCGTGAAGCATGTGTTCCATCCTAGCACCCCTGTAAGAAGCCACATATGGGGCTGGAGAAATGGCTCATTGGTTAAGAGCACTGACTGCTCTTGCAGAGGACCTGGTTTAGATTCCCAACACCTACATGGCGGCTATGAACCATCCTTAACTTAAATTTCAGGGAAATCCGAAGCTGCCTTCTGACCTCCTCAGCATTGCACAACACGGGTGCACTCATATACATGCAGGCAATACACTCATACACATAAAATAATAAATAAAAAATTTTTTTTTCTTTTAAGAAAGAAGCCATGCCAGGCATTGTGGCGCACACCTTTAATCCTAGCACTTGGGAGGCAGAGGCAGGCAGATCTCTGTGAGTTCAAGGCCAGCCTGGTCTACATAGTGAGTTCTAGGACAGCTGGGGCTACAGGTGTAGGACCCCCAGGCTGGGGTACCCAATGTCCACGGGAGGCCGCACCCCAATAACGCAGTCCTCAGACCAGGAGATGCAACAAGCAAGAGGATTTAATCGTTTGCGCAGATGGGCTCCTGCCTCACTTGAGAGAGAGCAGCAGCCCAGAGTTCAGCTTACAGGCTTCTTTTAAAGGCAAAACCCACAAACCACAAGCAGTAGAAGTGGGAGGGGGAGCGGCAGTAGTGGGAGGAAGTTTTGGGTGATTTTCGGCTTTGTGCATGGAGCATGAAAAGGTCAGCTTTGTCTCAGTAGTTAGAATTTTACATCTTCCTTGTACAGTTTCCCAGAATATTCTTCTTTTGATCTGGGGGGACTTGGTTTGATTCCATCGTTCCCCCCTTATGGCAAGATTTTAATCATAAAATCTATAGGTTTTCTGTTCTTTTTAGAGCATGGTATTGTTGGGTAAGGACCAAGGCCTGAGTCACTGATATTCGGTCCCTAATCAACTGTAACAGTCTATTGATGATGCACGGTCCGAAGGTTAAGAGAAGGAGAAGAATAACTAGGGGGCCCACTAGGGTGGATACTAGAGTGGTTAACCAGGGCATTTCATTAAACCATCCTTCGAACCATCCTTGCTTGGATTCACGGTCCCTTTGTCTTTTTTCTAACCTTTGACAGAGCTTAGTCATTGAGTCTCTAACAACCCCTGTGTTGTCAGCATAGAAACAACATTCTTCACCTAGAGCCGCACAAAGCCCTCCTTCCTTAAGGAAAAGCAGATCCAGTCCCCTTCTATTTTGTAATACCACTTCTGAAAGGGAGGTTAGAGGTTTTTCTAAGTGTGTAATTGATTGTTCTATTGCCTTGATGTCTTCATCTACTGCCATCTGTAAATCTGCATAATATTGTGGTCCTTGTATCAGGGCTGCTGTTCCAGTTCCTACTCCCGCAGCCACCCCTACTCCCAGAAGTATTGCTAAGGTTAGTGACACAGGCTCTCTTTTGTACCTTCTTGGTTGTTGTTGTTCAAAGAACTGTTCTACAGAACCTGTGGGGTGATAGAATACTCAGGGCAGGAGCTTAATCATGACACAGTAATCTTGAGAGGTTCTAAGGACCATACTAGCTGCACAGGGAGTCAAACCAGAGTTACATGCCCACCAAGCCCCTTGTGGAGGCAGAAGATAGTAATTTCTTTCTCCTGAAGGTAGAGAAATAGTGGAGTTGCAGAGGCAGGCATGAGTTGGAGGTGGGTTTCCTAGGCAGAGCCCAGATCCCGAGACTTCCGTAAGGGTTAGGGGGTAAGGGGTCTCTCTATGACATTGGTTGGCCGAAGTGGTATTATTGAAAGCCTCTTGGATTGCTATGCCCTCGTAATAAGGGGGTGCTGCTGCTAAACATAGCCAACAGGATTCAGTTAGGTTGGGGTCTGTCTGTCTAATGGCCTTATATGCTCCTTGGATTAGATTAAACAGTCGGTCCCCCGTGGGTGAAACCTTGTGACCCGGGGAGCTAGAATTCTGTTTCAACAGGATATTTACAGGGGAAGTTTCAGAAAGGGGGTTGGAGATTAAAGCTGGCGGGGGATTCGGGTGACTGGGGATGGGATTCTGAACAGGTAAGACAGGGTTGGGGCCTATAGCTATTGAATAGGGGGAGGTGTCTCTCTTAATGGTAAATAAAAGGCCAGGATCTGTCCCCTCCTTATATATCCTAATTCCCCAAGAATGTCCCTTATCCCAATCTGTGACCTTCCTCCCTGATGTTGTGAATTCTATCCGGAGAGGGTGGCACCATTTACCTTGACAAACCCCTTTAGGAGCATTTGGGCTCTTGTGGGAATAATTTGCTTTTACAGTAATATAATCCCAAGATGAGGATGGAGACCACCAGGTATCCCCAGTTGTTTAGCATCCCCAGCTTTTACAGTAAAAATAGTCTCTTTCTCCACATTGGGAATTAAGCCACTTAGCACGATGGTTACCTGGGCAGACATAGAAGGTATGCCGACGCAACATGGTCCTTGCTTGTTCACGACACCCTTCCCCTGTTAAGTGGGGTCCTGCAAACGGGGGGTAATTTTCTGGGCCGAGTACTTTATCAGGATCCGTGAAGTCTGATATGTCCCAGGGCGCTGGTGCTCCTAAGGCTAATTTACACAAATCTGGATACAGTATAGGCCACCAAG